AACATTGAAAGTTGCACTGGAGACAGCGATATGTGCTTAAGAGAAAATAGTGACATACAGCTTCTAGACACTAGTTAAATAATGGCAACAGCTTAGTTTGACCTGCAGCCCCATCATTAAGAAGCCTACACACATGCAGGCAGTCACACAAACATGGCCACGTGCAATTGGACTTGAGATGGAACGTGAAAGCTGAAGGTGTCAAATGCAAACCAGGTCAGAGCAGGACAACAGTCACAGCCAGGAGTCTGGCAATGCAGTTTGCTGAGAGGCACTTACCTCTTCTAGGCTTGACTGACCACACACACAGACCTCAAACCTGCTTTTGGCATGAAGCTTTCTCAGCGGTCCAGAGAAAGAAGAGTGAAAGCAAAGGGAGAGGACAAGTCTGACTGACCACTGTTGTGACACAAGGTTAAAGATAAGCTTTTCTTGTAGTTTAGAAATTCTTACAAGCTAGTCTCCTGTGTTAGCTTTGGACACAGCATAGATACACCTGTGGGCTATGGGCATATTCTGTTTGAAGGGCAGATTTCAATCAGTACAGTTTCAAAGAATTCTATATATATTCCCTATATATTTTATATATATATATATACATAACCATGGTTTATATTATCCAGCATTTGTAAAGTTCCTTAAGGAAGAACTTAATTGCAAAAGAAGAAAGGCAATGAGCTTCTCAATATATGTGCTATGCAGACTTGAGTCAAGGAAGCCTATAGAAAGGAACTGCCCGAGATAAAAGCCATATCAGAGGTACAAAGGTTTGCAACTTTATCAGGCTACTGATGCAAAGTGGGAAAACTCAATAAAGACAAAAAGACATGGCGCTTTCCAGTCATAAGAACATCCTTAAGCATCTCATCTGGCTTCAAACACTGCAGTAATCGATATTTTGCAAACACAAAAATATCAATGCAAGGAAAATCTTTGACTATAGAAAAGGAAAGCAACTGAAAACTAAGGTTTGGAGTATTTGAGGTGAGTGCCAAAAGAAGACTTCCAAATCTAAATTTTACTTCCAAAATTACAGTTAATCCAAGTATTTTTCAAATAGTATTTTATTATGGTATTTCATTTTATTAAACTGAATATATACAAAATATATGCAGATCTGACACTGCATAGTAATCTTCAGTGCCTATAACCCCAAAAAATAAGCTTCTGTCTGCTCTATTTGATACCAAGACAGCTCTGACTTCAAAAGGTCTAGGTTTTTACTTTTGGGAAACCCTTTTTTTTATCACTAAAACATGCTGGTTTTAGAGCACTACAACAGACTGGACCTTTCCATTTGCTCATTGACACAGAGACAAAAAGCATTTTCCAGAATGTCCACCTCACAGCCCTGTCATAATACTGTTGCCTCCCAGGGCCACCTCATGTTTTGCTGATGACTACCTTAACCAAGAGACAGTTAAAAGAAGTTATATTGCTATGCCTACTTAAGTAGTAACCTCCCAAATTTCAGGCTTCTTTTTTAACTTTATGAGTCACATGGTGCAAAAAGGCAACAAAACAATTTTTGCCAGAAAAGCCAGAATTCTTGCTGGCTTTTCCTCTGTGGAAAAAGGAAGTAAAAAAGAGTGAGACTGGATAAAATAGTAAGGTGAAGCACCTGTTGAGAACAGAAAAGCATAAGAAAAATGAGTTAAGTGACTTCAAGTCCAATAAAAGCAATTGCAAATTCATAGGTGTTTGTATGAATCACTTTTAATTTCCTGCCAGAGAGCTTTGGTTTCACTTAATTACAAAGCAAAGTGATGAATGAAGAAGGCTAATTCACAGGCACACATGTCATACATTTATTTGTTTCTTACTTTTTCCCTCTGTTTCCTTCATAGCTATTGATGGGCACTGAATGATCACATGAGATAAAGTCTGGCAACATTACATGGACTATTTGCAAAGCACATGAAAAATCCATCACAGCTAGAAAGAAGCTAACAGATGGTAACTGGACAGAAGCAACAGCCCCAACTCTTACTACCTGTGGTGAAAGAATAAACAATATCAACTGCAGATTACAAAGTGCAGCCTAAAGAGCCTAACTTTAAATGAGAGATTCAAGGTACAAAAAGGCCAGACACAACTAAATGTTTGCAAGTAGGCTCACGAGAAAGGATATTTTGAGAGGATTGCTAAATCTCGCTGACATTAACAGTCCTCTCTGCTGCACACTGCCAAAGAATAAAAAGGAGAGGGGTGGGGAAGGTGTGGGTGTGCATGTAGGAGAGGTTTTTTGCTGGAATTTTAATTGCAGTTCTGTATACCACACTGTGGTGGTTTGGCTTTCCACTCTGCCATGTACTTTCAACACACTTCAAAATGTGTTGTACCAGAATCGTGCCAAATCCTAAAAATTAAAATATATCTTTCATCAAGTCATGTGCCAGTCACCAACTCTATTTACAGATGTCATCAACCCTTTCTGCAATGACCTGCACATAACTATCTGTTCTTGCTTTCCCTCAGTCCAGATCACTCAGTGTCCAACCATCTTCACCCCAACATCAGTTCACCAAAGAAATCCATAAAGTACCTTCATATTTCAGGACTTAGTGGGAATAAGGCTCTAATACAGATTCACTTGTATCACAGTCACATGTAGACATTGTTACCCCAAGCAGGTAATAACTTCTCTGCAGCACACAGTCTGGGAGAGAGTCACCACCACCTTCCCTTCAGTTTAGGACAGGTGAGAAAAAAAGCAAACTATCTTAAAAGCAGCCTCACCTGATAGCAGGCAGCTATGCTGTGCTGAAATGTTGTAACTAAGAAACTAAACAAAGCACTTGTTCCCCAGGATACAGCATTTCTTGAAAACTGAGACTTGAGATCACAAGTTTTTTGAAACGGATGATACTTTCCTCAGTCCAGATACAATCAGCATGTGACATCACCTCATCCTACATAGCAAGAATGCCTATATTACTTTGTAATAGAATTTTTTCCATAATACATTTGATTACAGCACAAATTAAGTGTACTTCCTTTAGTTCTATGAAGCACAAAGCAAAATAAATTGAATGGTGTTCTCATAGAAAGAGGGGTTAAGGGATGTATGGAGATTAAGGAATTTTAGTCAGTCTTCAGATCAGCTCCACATATAATAAATGGCCTTAAGCAATGCTTTTGTGTCTTAGCTCTCCATCACTGAAATGGGATAATTTATTATTGTTTTGCAGAGGACTGAAGTCCACTAATATAGACACAAGCCTCTATGAGCTGATATGCTCAGAAATTATTGTCATGAACACCCACTTAGCAAAGCACAACTACAAACTTTTCCACAGAGACACGAGCTAACTTGCTTTCTGTTGCAATTTCACACTTCAAATTATTCGGACTGGCCAAAGAAAGGAGCTTATCAAGCATTTATTTCCATTGGGATGTCAACGCATACACACACAGGCACCGCACTTGTTCTTCCTCTTCTGAGGCAGTCAAAGGATTATTCTGGAATAATAAAACACTAGCAACTATTTTAATGGCTAAAACAAGGACAGTTGGAATGGAAAGAGCTAAAAGGTAACTGTTAGAAGTACATCGTCCCTAGGAGCTCCAGTGAAAAAGAGGACCCTTATTGAAAACAAATGTCTTGTCAATGAATTTGGTGAAAGTAAAGGAAACAATTAATTTAGGCACTTACTTTAGCCTTGCAAACATTGGACATATACTTTACGCTCATGCAATTTTATTCAAATGCCTAAAGTAAGCAAATGCTTAAACATGGTTAGGGTTTTTTAAGGGAAACTTCTAATTTAAATACAGCATGAAGAGTGAGAATGAAAAAATGGATAATTACAGTAAACAAAGAGGGCTGAATAGCATATGAGATGGAAGCGTTGAACTAGAATTACTTAAGTTTCTCATGAGCAATGTTCTCACATCTTTACATGACTACTCTCAGATGATGCGTGCTCTGCTCTAGGTAGTCAGATCCAATAACAATTAAAACACGCAGTGGAATGACGATTCTGCCCTTAGCATCCTGGGTTTGTGGGGAAGTGGGGTAATCTGCTAGAAAAATATTCCACAGAACGGCATATAACATTGAGCTTACTAAACAAAGTCACTGAACAGAATATTAGCAATTTTGAAAGGTGTTGAGATTACTCATATTTCCGTTCCACTGTTTTGAATCTATTAAAGGTAAATAAACGCTCAAGCAACAACATGCTGAGCTCCATCCATACGGTAAAGCAGTTGGAGAAGTCAGAAACCTGTATTTTGAAGTCACTGTACAAACCAAGGATTATCAGTTACTAAAATACTGAAGAGGGTTTACACTGCCTAGGTAGGACCAACATTTTTAGTGCTAAATCAAAAAAGCTACAGAATTTACCCCGTAGCCAAGACAGACATACCACTAAGTTCCCAGGATTTTTCAGAGCTTGGTCCCTCCCCAGGACTGCCTCTGCCTGTGTGCTCCCCCCAGCTGCTCCAGCCTTGGCCTGGCCTTGCTGCACTCTCACACGCAGCAGCTGGTACTGGAGGTGCCGAATGCTACCACCTGCAAATGGGCTCAGCTCTTACATTGGAAGAGTTTTATCCATGGCACTGCTGTCCCATAAACAGAATGTATTAGAGACAGGGAGCAAAGGAGAGCCACCACCAGCTTACACGGGTTTGAACACTGGCTCAGCACAGCTCTGATGGTGTGGAGAATGAGAGACAGCAGCTGTGACTATGCCAAGAACCAAACTGAGGGAGCTACAGCATCTTCATCTGCTGTTTCCCTGAATATGCATGTGCAACACAGCACAGCTTTTGTCTCTTGGATACAACTCTGCATGGGAATACCTGTAACTGTGTATCAAGCAGGCTTGAAGCCTGCCTAAGAAGGGTAAGGAACGAGGATGTGCTTTTCTTAAGTTCTGCTTCTGATTGCCTTCCCTGCTTTCATCTATTACCCTGCTTAAATACGAAATACATTCATTTCAGTTATGTTGCTCTGTTGGGGGGAAAAAATGAAGAAACGTTAAACACACAAGTTTATGTTTTTCTCTTATATTTTTATGGTATCTTGAAACACCGCAAACCTGTGACACATACACATGTGCAACCATAAACCATTCAAGAGAAAGTACAGGCTGGAATGTTTTATTAAGAACATTCATCACAGGATCTGCATAATCCTTGCTTCCTGAAGTCACTCACTGATGTTTCTGATGACAGGATAGTCGAAATTCAGTGTTTTATAACCACTTCCTCAGAGCAAGTGTGCAGCATGACTTCAAATAGAGCACAAGTTAATACATCTACTTTGCAGTTAAAGTAAGTATTTTATGTCGATCATTAACTATTTAGGATGTTCACAAACGGGCAGTGGAGCGAGTGGCCCAGCCGGCACCTGCCCGCTCCCGCTCCGCGCCGCATTCGCCGTGAGGGACAGAGCCCCCGCTCCGCCTGCCCACGGGCACGCAGGAAATGGCAGCACCCGCCCGGCCCCCCACATCCGCATCCTCCTTCTCCTCCTCCCCGGCGAGGGCGGGCGGGCGCCGGGGAGTGCGGCGAGGTGTGTCCCAGGTGCCCGGGCTATATGAGGCGGCGCGGCGGGGCGGCGCGGTGGCTCCATGGCGGCGCCGGCCATGGCTGAGCCGCGCTCCAAGCGGCCCCGCGTCACCCTGCCCGCCTGCCCCGCGCACCGCCCGCTGCCCGCCAGCCGCGTCCGCCACGGCTTCCCCGCCGCCGTGGAGGAGGCGCTCTGCGGCGTCACCGGCGCCCAGCTGGAGCTCCACTACTGCCTGCAGGCGCTGGTAAGGGCGGCGGGGCGCGGACGGGCACGGGAGGCGGCCGGGGCCGCGGCGTGGGACCCCCTCTAGCCCTGGCCGGGCAGCCACCGGCGGCGGGGTGAGGAGGGTCTCGGAGTCCGGACGGGACGGCGGAGCGGTGTCTGTTCCCAGACCCAGGGCATTTGGGGGCTCTCCTGCCAGAGCCGCTGCTGCCCCTGCGCCGACACGGCCACAGAAACAACGACGAAGGTCTGGAACACGCGGGCGACGAAACGAGCGCTCGTGTGTTTTTGGGTAATTCACAGAGAGAGTTTTGCCTGTGGAAAGAGGGACAGGAACAGAGAATGCTAACAGCTCTGGATTATGACTCTTGAGTGGCTTTTTCCCCCCCAAACTTCGTGTGTAAAATAGTTGTGCGAGGTTAACTGTAGTTTGTGAACGTCGCTGCCGGCTTAGGGTTTTCTGCTCCACAGTATGAACTTTAGACACAAAATTAAAAAAAGTTATCTCTGATACCATGTAACATGCATGCCAAAATTGCTTCCGGCTACCTATCAAATGTTAGGGCAACATATATTTTAACACAGCCATTAAAATATAAAAATCAGAATTATCGATGCTATACCTTCTGATGCCAAGAATCCACTGGGAAACAGCACAAACTATATTGAATGTATCCCCAAGAGCCTTCAATTGAGTTTGGTGTCAAATATTAGTTCAATAAAAATTTAAGTATGCAGTAAAACCTGTACCTGCTAAGACTGTAGATTAAAAAAAATTCTAGTGATTGGCAGTGGGATGGGATGGAGAAAGCTCAGTTAACTATTTAGGATGTTTACATTTCTAGATTTGATTTATCCACATTCAGTTTCTAATTATTGACATAAAAGATTTACCTTAACAGTTAAGCAGACGTGTTGACTTGTGCTCCACTTGAAGTCATGCCTCACACTGGCACTGAGAAACTGATTATAAAACACTGAATCTTGACTATCCTGTCAACAGAAACATCAATGAGTGACTTCAGGAAACAAGGATTATGCAAACAATGGCAGTGAATGTTCTTAATAAAACATTCCAGTGTGTACTTTCTCTTGAAGGGTTTGTGGTCACACATGTGTACATGTGTCACAGGTTTTGGTTGTCTCAAAATGGCCATACAAATAGAAGAAATAAACATAAACTTGTGTGTTTAACATTTCATTTTTTTTTTCTAAACAGAGCAACATAACTGAAATAAATATATTTCATATTTAAGCAGGGTAATAGATGAAAGCAGGGAAGGCAATCAGAAGCAGAACTTAAGCACATCCTCGTTCCTTACCCCTCTTAGGCAGGCTTCAAGCCTGCTTGATACACAGTTACAGGTAGTCCAATGCAGACTTATATCCAAGAGACAAAAGCTGCGCTGTGTTGCACATACATATTTAGGGAACCAGCAGATGAAGATGCTGGGGCTCCCTCAGTTTGGTTCTTGGCACAGTCACAGCTGCTGCCTCTTGTTCTCACCATCAGAGCTGTGCTGAGCCAGTGTTCAAACCAGTGTAAGCTGGTGGTGGCTCTCCTTTGCTCCCTGTCTCTAATACATTCTGTTTATGGGACAGCAATGCCATGGATAAAACTCTTCTAATGTAAGAGCTGATAGGTCTGTTAGCACAGTTAAATATGGCAGTGGTTAAAGTTGTTGTTTTCCCATACAGAACAGAACAAGGCCTGCAGTGGGGTTAGGGTTGTAATACTTCTGAAATCATAGAATTGCCTGAGCTGGAAAGGACCTCAAAGATCATCTAGTGCCATGCCAGGGACACCTTCCACTAGACCAGCTTGCTCAGAGCTGCAATCTGACCTTGGACACTTCAGGGATGGGGCATCCATAGCTTTCCTGGGCAGTTTGTTCCAGTGCCTCACTACCTTCACAGTAAAGAATTTCTTACTAATATGTAATCTGAAGCTCTCCTTTTTTCAGTTTGAAGCCATTCCCCCTTGTCCTGTCACTACCTGCTCTTTCCATCTTTCTTGTAGGCTATTGGAAGGCAACAGTTAGGTAACCCTGAAGCTTTCTCTTTTCCAGGCTGAACAATCCCAATTCTCTGAGCCTTTTCTCATAGGAAAAATTTTAATCAACCTGGGGGTCCTCCTCTGGACTTGCTCCAACAGGTCAATGTCCTTCCTAGGCATGAGCTACGTATAATGAAGGTGTATACAGAACAGTTAAGTATTCATCATTTTGGAATAACATCCATAATGAACCTGATAAATAGATACGAAGTTATGCTTGTTCTCTTTTTGGTATTTACATCATCTTTCTCATACCTTTGAAAGCTAACTTTTGACTGGAATGCTGACCTGCAGGGATAAATTTTATGTTCCCTGTGCTGCGAGTATGTTTAAAAAACAAAACAAAAACCCTAGACAAAACACAATTACAAAACACACACATGCTAACCACTCATAAATAAAACATTTTGAGGATCTCTGACTGCTACTGAGAGAGTAACATGAGTACTACAGTTGCCTACCCAGTATTATAGGGCAGGAGTTCTAGTAGAAGTACAGAGATTTTTCATTTCAGGACATAACTACTTACTTCATTTACTGTGGAAATTTGTAACCTTTGGATTAAGGTCTCCAAAGTTCTAATAAAGCCACGTTCTTCTGCAAGTGAGTCCCATCTCCAGCAAATCTTAACGCTCTTGTTTTGTGTGCTTAGGGTGAATATTTTGATCAGTCACATGTGGCTCTACCAAATATTTCAAAGTTCTTCTTGCATCAAGCTCTGGAAGAGAGAAAAGCCGCAGAGGCATTGATGAAGTATCAGCAAGAAAGAGGAGGCCACTACTGTTCTAAAACCATCCAGGTGGGTAGTAGACAGCAAGCTTTCAAGCAGCTGCAGTCCATTTACCTTATCGAATTACATTGTTGGTACTTCAGATCTCTGCATTCATCCATTATGAGATTTCCAGATATAATTTACCTGACATATTAGTGTACACGGTTTTGTTCTTGATTGCGATGCTTAGAAACTGTCAGACATACAGTCCTAACACTATGTGGTTGCATTCTAGCCCAAAAGAATATGAACAGTATTCTCCTTTCCTTTTACTCAGCTGGACACTGATGTTTCCAGTGTGCTGTAACGGATTATGAGACTCCTTAAACTGTACTGAAACAGCCCACTTGTCTCCTTCACACTAAGTAGAAGCCTAGACATGATTAGCACGTAAGAAAGGTGGTAAGGAAGGAGGTAGAGGAAACATCCAGCTTGAGGCAGTAGTTGATTTGCTAAAGCACAGCTCAGGACAGAATGTGAACTACAGATTTCACTTGGGCTTGCACAGGTCACAGTTGCAAAAGAATAACTCAAAGTTTTCAGGGAAAAAAATAACCCACCTCATTTATTTAAGACCAAGGGGCTGATTCTCCTCTACCAAATTAGTTTTCTGTAAATAGTTAATACAGAATGCTCTTTTTTGGTCCATCATAGCAGTTGTTAATCTGTAGAAAGTAAAAAGGCCATTGTGAAAATCTTTCTAAATTGTCAGTTTGAAATGGGGAAGACCTTAGGGTGGTCTTTCAGTACTTAAAGGACACCTACAGGAAATAGAGGGAGGGACTCTTTCTCAAGGAGTGCAGTGATAGGATTAGGGATAAGAATTTTTAATTGAAAGAGGGTGGATTTAGATTAGGAAGAACCTGTTTACTATGAGGATGGTGAGACACTGGAACAAGTTGCCCGGAGTAGTGGTGAATGGCCCATCCCTGAGAGTGTTCAAGACCAGGCTGGATGGGGCTTAGAGCAGCCTGGTCAAGTGAAAGGTGTTCCTGCCCACAACAGGGGATTGGAATGAGATGATTTTTTAAGGTCCCTTCCAACCCCAGCCATTCTGTGATTGGGTTTCCTGGTGTAAGAATGCTCCTCAGACATAGCTGCTGCTATCTAAATCCATTCCTTGAAAAAGTGCTTGGCCCCTGCTACCTGTGTGTGTTCACAGCCATGGCACTCTGTAAAAAACAGATGCTCTAAACTAGGAGTTGTTGCAAAATCCTAATACAACTTGTTTGGAGCACCAGATTAAGTTGCAGGAAACCACTGATGAATACAGTAAGATCAACTGTTCTGAATAAATACAATTCTCTCTTTGTTTTTAGAAACCAAACTGTGATTATGCAGTCGGTCTGATGAAAGCCCTGGAATTAGCAATGGTACAGTGGAAAACTATGCTACGATATTTTGAAGAGCTTTATGCCCTGAGTGTTGAAAATGCAGACCCTCATAGTGCAAGCACTATGAAGAAGCAATTTATTGCGCCCAAAATCCGGAAGATCAAGCTAATGGGAGATCTACTCACCAATGCTCGCAGGCTTGACTGTTCCCAAGATGGCAGAAATAGTCTTGGGGATTACTTCATGGACCGGTTGCAGAAAGAGTTCAGAACAAGCATAGAGCCAGAGTCTAGTGATCACTGCAGCCCCTGCCCGCCTCTGCAGCAGTGCACAGGAGCTGCAGAAGGTCTGAAGCGACCCCAGAGAGAATCTTCCCAGCACAGAAATGGCATAGGGCCAATATATGCAACTATACATTGCACTACGATGCTGCCACAGTGTAATGATGGGACAGGAGCAAAAGTGAAGCAGGGCAGGGAGGGCCTTTAATGCTGTGGCTGCTATGGGGTAGCTCCTAAGGCAAACCTTTACAGAGGGTGGAGTTGGGACCAGAACTCAGGAGACATGAGCCTGTATCACTCCTGTTTTACACCCTGCCCCCTCATCCTCTGTTGAGTCAAAATCTTGCCTATACCATTATTTTGTTTAAATGATAGCAAGGTTGCCAGCTACCTAGATTGTCAGCACTAGTCACACATAATCTATGCAATTCTTCCTAGAAGCCAAAAGCTTTTAAGCTTCTTTTCTGTTTTAAATGATTAACAGGATTATTTAGTGCAATTTTTTAACAGTATATATAATTTGTATTAAAAAAAAAAAAAGAAACCACTGCAGCTTTAGTACAAGGAAACTTTTATGTGGCAGGAAATCCAAATATTTAGTTTTATGTTCCTGAATATTTTATATTCCTGAATATATATATATTAGATATTTTACATTACTAACAAGTATACTAGCATAATGAACTTGTTTTTAAAAAGACTTGGTTTAAAACAAAGTTTTCTTATTTTTATCATAGTAGCAATTTAAATAAGTAGTCAAAATAATTTACGTATCAGGATGAATAATTTACTTCTTCAGGATGAAAGATGCAAACATTTCCTCAACACTGGGAATAAGAAAACATGCTGGTTTTCTCTACAGTTATGTGCCTAGTTGGCTTTTCTCATTGTCAGAAAACAGATGAGAGATAAATTATGAGTTTTCATTAGCTGAGATCTTTATAGGTTCTACTGGATATTTTGCAAGTGTCACAAGACACTAGCTCTAGGGCTCTGTCCAGACTTAACCTAGGATGGTTGCTTTAGTTTTCATACAGACCCCTATTTCAGCTAGCTCAATTACGGTATTACTATGCTACTCCTGCTATTTCTTTTATTCCCTATTCAGTCCCAAGTAGAGGCATAAGATCCTAGTGAAAAAGCAGCACACTTAACTAGCATTGCATCAGAGAGAGTGGCCACTCATTAGTTTTGCCTTTCAGTTGGGGCAGTATTAGCCAGTTTGGTTAAAGTTCAGAAGTTCAGAGGTGTCCAAATTCTTTTCCTTCATCTCCTGCAGGAGTGCCTTGCTTTTTGTACCCTGGCTCCCAAGGTCACTTAAGAAGAGCAACTGGCTAGATCAGCTGCCTGCAGCTAGGGTTTTTTTTTTTGTCGCTATACACAACATCTTTTATGCAATTGGGGTTTGATTCATTGAAAGATTGTCTCACACTTTCATGTAATACTGTAAGTGATACTCCTATTCTTGAAAATAAATTCAGTTCAATGTTACAAATGGTTCTTTGCCTCTCCATTTTATTCCTCAATTCACCAGCCAAGTATGCTGGTATTATTCTTTAAGAGATTTTGCATATGTATACAAAACTTCACCAGTACTTTTCTTCATGCAAGAAGTTTGATGGAAGAGTATGCCACAGAGTGAAAATAAATGCCAGAAAACTTCATTACTACAAAAACACTGCACAATGAAACATTTTCTGTAAACTCTGCTGTTTATACACAGCTGCAGTTGAATAGCAATTTCTGCAAAGCCCATCTACTTTCTGTTGGTGGTGTAACACGGGACAGACAATTACAATGTAGATGCTTTCCCAATCTTTTTGTTAATGGGATTCAACATTAGTGGAGGGGGGACACACAGCCACTTTAAAACAACCCCTGTACTCATCTATAAGAGTACTGCAATGTGCCAGAAGAATGGCTCAAAGCACTTTTACCAACATGCTGGATTTGCCGATGTTGAGATGGCTGCTCTCTAAAACAGCAGTAGTTTAAAAGCTATTTCCATCTGGGCTAGATTCCATCACCCATTCTCATGCTGAGCATACCTTATTCAACAATTAGTTCCACTGACTGCAACTCAACATGAATAAGAGCAATGGAATCCGTCCCTCTCAGTATTAAAATACAGCTTGCTAAGTGTGAACAGAGCAAAGCTACTAACTGAAGTATAAAACTAGTGCTATATAAAACCCCTTCAAACACTACTGGTAATGTTTGACCTACTCCTACAACAACCTTCTCCTTTAAGAGCTGGTACCTTCTGAAATGTAGGTACAGCCTTCTCAATGGTTTCCTGCACTTAAGACTGTCTTTTACCTTAAGCAAATTCCAACATAACAACCTAACATCGAAATTTTTCAAAGCAAGACTTACCTCTTATTTTTCTGTGAAATACTACCATGTCCATTTCTCAGGCTTCTCATACTCATCTTCTAGCCAAATGTATCCACAGATTCTCAGAATTCAGGTCTTTCTCTCTCCCTTTTCCAAAATTCACTTTCCGGGTCCTCTGCCTGAAAAGACAGATAACCTCACAATGATCTGTTTTCCCAGTATCTATCTTCTGAAAAAGAAAAGAGAAATCAGTTACTCTAGATAATAAGCTCTTCTTGTCCACATGCTGCTTCTGCTGAGGGCACATATGCTTGTGAATATGGTCTCAGATTTGTTAATAATACCTGTCTGTTGTGTATAGGGTGAGTCTGTCCACGCTTCTCAGCATAAGTACAATCTGCCTCTGACTTCCCATTTTCCTTTTCAATCACCTCCTGAAAAAAGGAGATGAAGGATGAAATGTGGAACAGGTGTAAGGGGAACAGTGCTTATAGAAACTTTACAAATTCTCCTTCTCTGCTGAATGCTTGTTCATATACACTCTCAGTATCTGTACTTCCAAAGCGATGCCCAAACCATCCAAACACACGATCTGGGGAAGCTCTGAATAGCTAGTTCCCTAAAGAGATTCCAAACTGGAATCTCTGGAGAGACCTAATCTTTACTGAAATTAAGAGTTACAGCCACAGAGGCTTCCAAAGAGGTTTAACAATAGAATATTTGTAATACTTGCCATAAGCACTAGCTATGGTTTCTGACTCTCAGTGAGAAATGCACTTAAAGTCTCCAAGTGGAGATCATGCCGTCCTTCGTCCTCTTCACTATGGCCACATAAAATTAAGAAAAGCATCTCAGGATTTGTTCTTTGCAAGGACTTTTTTTCAGGCCCCACTGTACAAGGCAACATCTTTCTGGACAAACCTGGAAATACTGGAAAGCGGATGTTAGTTCTGGTAGCAGCAGCAGGGAATCACAGAATTGTTAGGGTTGAAGGGACCTCTGGAGGTCATCTGGTCCAACACCAGAGGAAGGTGTCCTCAAGGGCACTGGAAGATCACTGCACGGAATTCACCATCTGGTCATGGCCTTCTCCTGACCTTTGCACTTGGGTGAGTTCATGCACTTAAGTGCATTCATGGGCAAATACTGGCAAACTCCTCAGAGTGCTTGTCAAAGTTTCACCATTTGTTACCACATTGCCCAAGGTAACCACTATGTGCTCAAGTCCCAGAGTATCTTTTCCTGGGGTTACATACAAGCTAGAAATGAGCAGTGGCAGAATAGGCCACAATACTGACTAAATATTAGGTAAAATTACCTTTTCCACAGATTAAACCAATGGTCTGGAAAGATTTTAAGTGTCTAGAGTGGGTCAGACTGCCAGCACCAAGCCTTGATATCCAAATTTACATGTTTAGTTGTTAGAATATGAGAAATAGTTGTATGCCGTAACATTTATACTTACTTTGCATTATTGTATGCCTTGCACTACTTTGAATACAAATTATTTTTACTTTATTAACTGTTCAATAAAGATTTTAAAATAAATCTGTGTATTCCTTCTGGATCAAAGAACCTGTGTAATAACAGTGAAGTGTTTCCAAAAGTTTGCTACTCTGCCTCTCAGAGACAGCTGGGAGATATATTTCTAAATGTGTAAGGGTGGTCAATAGCCGATCTCCTTGGGACATATCGCTTTTCAGCATTGGATACAGTGAAAGAGCGGACTTGTACAGAGTCCAAAACATATAGTTTTATCTTTAAATAAAACTTTTATCTTTTGGGGATAATGATAGAAGGTGACTTACAGTTCTTATTGTTGTCTGTACTTGAAAACATTTAAGTAAATAGAAAATGGGGACTGCAGATTAGGAATTTTTGCAAAAAAACAGATCATATAACAACAAAAGAAACCACCATCACAACAGCCCCTACGAGAAGTAATAGGCACAGGGATTGGGGGTTGATCATTGATGGATGTCTTTTACCTTTCAGATTCTGTGAGTCCTTGCCCCACTGAAGACAGAGCTTTGCCATTGATTTTGAAAGAGTTAAAATTTCACCAGTATTTATAACTGCAGAACAGAGATTAATTGTAGCTCTTGGTACATTAAAAATATGCATAACTATTTCAACCATGAAGTCAATGAAATCATATAGTTGAATTACTGAAGTGCCTCTGAAAAGAACCTAATTTCTCATCTCAAACGATATTCCAAAAACAGAGTAAAAACTCTTAGCACCTTTGAGAGGCGTTACCAAAACCCATCCTATTTTTCCAAGCTCCAAACTGCCACTGCTATCCAACTGCAGTGTGAAACGCCTCTGCACGGGGTGGACTCCACCTCTGCAAAGGTTCCAGAATAAAGGTAAACAGAGGCTCGAGCTGAAAGAGGAACCTGAAATGCGAATTTACACAAGGACACCTGAATTCCGAGGGAAAGGCCGGCGCACTCCACGGCCCTCGGGCACAGCGGCTTTTCCTGACGGGAAAAGCCGACACCGCCCCCCACAGGCGGCCCGGCCGCCGTGCGGGTCCCGCGGCCACGACCCGCCCGTCGCGCTGCTCCCGCACGGTCCCGGCTCTCCGCGGTGCCTCGGGGCCGTGCGGGGTGGCTCGGTCCCGGCTCTCCGCGGTGTCCCCGGCCCTGGCACCGCCCGCTCTCACGAATGTCTCGGCAGTAGTTACCCTCGTGGCCGCAGAGCCGCGGCCGGCGCGGAGAGACCTGTCCCGGCGCCGGGGGCTTCTTCCCTGGGAGAAGAAGCCCCCGCCAGAAGAAGCGGAGCCGCCAGCAGTGTGCGGTGCCGTGCGGGAGCAGCGGAGCGCGCCGCTGTCCCCCCGGGCGGGCGGCCGGAGGTCCCGGCACCTCCGGGCATCGGGGCGCCTTGCTCCCCCTGGCGCGCCGGCGGCGCGGGCTGCTCAGAGCTAAAAGCAGGGGGGAAAAGAGAGCTCCGCGCAGCCGAGCGCCCGGGGCGGCTGGGCTCGGGGCTGCCGGGCTCGGGGCTGCCCCAGCGCCCGCGGAACACCGCACCCCCCCCCGCCGCTCCGGTCCCCGACCCGCCCGGCCGCGCCCCCCGACCCGCCCCGTCCCGACCCGCCGCGCTGGGGGGCTCAGCCATAAATACGGCCTCGAGTGGCGCTCCAGGACCGGCGCGGCTGGGGAGGGGGCCGGGGCAGCAGGCAGCGCTGGTGGCCTCGCCTGGGAGAGGCTGCGAGGGTCTCTGCTCCGCGCACCCGCCCGGCCACGGAACCGCCCGGTGGAAGCCCCCTCCTTTCTGATCCCCTCGCTCTCCCCTCTGGCCCAGCCGCTGACCCGTCTGCCGCCCCCATGGACTTACTGGGCCCCATGGAGATGACGGAGGGCTCCCTCTGCTCCTTCACGACTGCTGATGACTTCTATGATGACCCGTGCTTCAACACATCGGACATGCACTTCTTTGAGGACCTGGACCCCCGGCTGGTGCACGTGGGGGGTCTTCTGAAGCCCGAGGAGCACCCACACCACCATGGACATCACCACGGGCACGAGGAGGAGCATGTCCGGGCACCCAGTGGGCACCACCAGGCCGGCCGCTGCCTGCTGTGGGCGTGCAAGGCTTGCAAGAGGAAGACCACCAACGCCGACCGCCGCAAGGCCGCCACCATGAGGGAGCGGCGGAGGCTCAGCAAGGTCAACGAGGCCTTCGAGACCCTCAAGCGCTGCACCTCCACCAACCCCAACCAGCGCCTGCCCAAGGTGGAGATCCTGCGCAATGCCATCCGCTACATCGAGAGCCTGCAGGCCCTGCTGCGGGAGCAGGAGGATGCTTATTACCCCGTGCTGGAGCACTACAGCGGGGAATCGGATGCCTCCAGCCCCCGCTCCAACTGCTCTGATGGCATGGTGAGTGCCCTAGGGAGGACTCCCTGCCACCAAGGTGTGCTGGACATTGTCGGTCCAAACCTGAGCAGGGCAAGTCTCCTCTTCCTGCCTTTCCTATAGCAGCTGCCTTCTGTACCTCTCCAGGCAGAAGACAAAGTCCTCTCTCATGCCTTGAACTCCCACGGCAAAGGGAGGTGGGGTTCCCACATCCTACGATCTCAGGGAAAGAAGAAAAATCTCTTACACACTTTTTTCCAGGGATGAGAAGTTAAGCAGGTCCCCCTGTGTCCTGGGGACTTTGGGAAGCTGCCTGGGATGGGTACCTGGGGGCATGGTGAGGTCTGAGCCCTACCTGTGCTCCTGTAGCTCCTGAGGCATCTCTTGTTTCCATCTTCTGCTGTATCATTATCTTTGAATCCTCTACAGATTCAAAGCAGAGAGGAAGGGCCCTCTTGGACATAGTAGTTACATGGGAATCTTGTTTTCTGCCATTCATCAGGATAGCAGGAGGAGGGTCTAAGCAACAGGAGTTGTTTTTCTTGATCCTTAAGAAAATTGTTCTCTATTTCTCTTCTCACTCACTTCATCCCCTCCATAGACATTTACCAGCAATAGGAAGGAGAATCCAGGCTTTCAGTGCTGTTTGTACATTATGGGGATGGGAGAAGAAGGGTGGGGGCCAGAGGGGGTGTCTCATCATCACATCTTTAGACTGGGACTATAGGTGCAGACTCTGGTCTGATTCTAGGGTGTGGGACACAGTGACTGGAGTGCAGGACAGATATCTGGATGGGATATCAACAGCATTTTAAAACTGGAGATTGTTTTCTGTGCTCTGGTGGAAATAATCATTACTGAGTTGAATATCTGTGATTATAAGATAGTTGACAGACTGGAAAAAAGAATTATCCAAATGATCCCTCTTCAAATACAGCCTCTTTTAACACAAAGAGTAATTTCATTAGGGATTAAAGTAATGGAAGCAAACATATTGGTCAATGTTTTGGAGATTTTTCTGAACGAAATGGAAATGGGAAAAGAAACTAAAGGAAATACAAAGGGACGAGGGTAGACAGAAGCTTTTTAAGAGGAACTTGTGTTTTGAAAAATCTTCAGAAACTAACTAAAAGATCTCATTGCCCTTTCAGTTTCCCTGTTGTAAGCTGAAAATATATGTAGGGCTGTATCTGATCAGAATGCTGGAAAGCCTCATATCATCTGTAAAGCTTCAGCATTTGATGCAAGACTGGTAACTTTCCTGTGGAACAGCTGTGCCATGTAAAATATTCTGGGGTGGATCCACTTATCTTTTTCCTCATTTGAAGAAACTACAACTTGACGGCATTTCAGCCAGGACTGGAATGATGGCCTAGACTAAAGATTGAAATACTGGGATTTCTGTAAGTGCAGTGACCTCACTCAGATTTCTCTCCTTTCCAGATGGAGTACAGCGGGCCTCCGTGCAGCTCTCGCCGAAGAAACAGCTATGACAGCAGCTACTACACGGAATCACCAAATGGTGAGTACGTGCCGTAAGGGCAGTGTGGAACATGGAGACAGAGGCAGGCAGTGCAGCAAACTGCCCTGTGCCCGCTCTGTCTCCAGCTGGGCTGAAAGAGGAACCTGCCTTTCCAGCCAGCAAGCTGTTGCTGCTGGGAGAGGCATTGAATTTCCTCTAGAAGTATTTGCAAATATGAGGATATCTTATAGCCGCGTTTCCTATTTTGCAAATACAACATTTGGATAAAAGTATTTTCCTCTCTGCAACTAAGTTTCTGTGTTTAACCATATTTTGCATGAAGACTCTTCCTACTCTATGTGTCATTGATCCAAAGTGGAGAAATTTCGGATTGATTTCAAATCTTCACTTTCTATGGACTAAGTGAAACCATGGCCTCAGAGCAGCACATTGTGGTTGGGCCTCTCTTCCATTTTGCAATTACAATCTCTGTTTTCCAATAATTGGCATCCTTCGCTAATATTAATTTCCTCTGAATCTTCACATACTCACAAGTGCCTACTAATGTTAAGTACCCACTGGATAATCTGAGCACCTTTTGTCTGTTTTTTAGATCCAAAGCATGGGAAGAGTTCTGTTGTGTCCAGTCTCGATTGCCTCTCAAGCATTGTAGAGAGGATTTCTACAGATAATT